CATTTCGATAACAAACTGGGACTTTGCTGAAAGCACAGCCCCACAAAAAAGAATAGACATTTCGATAACAAACTGGAACACAAAAAAGAATGGACATTTCTTAGTCCCACAACAAGGTCTCATCGCTGTACACACAAAGGCAATAACTCTGAATCAGTTCATCCGATAATTACCAATTTCTAACTTGACCGAGATCTCACAATATATATATATATGCATATCAAGTTTCATCAAGATCGAATAAAAACTGTAGACTCTACCGTGCCTACAAGCCACATTTAATGCGTTCTTACAAGTCAAGTCGTCGATTTAGGACAATTAAAGGCGATTCATGACGATCAGAGTGGATTCGAGACGTTTTAGAGGCGTTTCAGGACGACAATTTGGCCGATCAAAAAATTTAATTAATCGGGAACAATCTGGTCCTGATCAACCGACTAAAAAAAACAGTAACGGATCACTTTTCTGTACTCTTCCCTCTGAGGACTGAGTCCATCGCTTCAGACCCTTCCTCGAATGCATAGGGCAGGTTCACGAATTTTTCGCAAAATAATATATCGGGTTCATTCGAGACTAGACAAATCCGTGGTGAAATGGAGGTATTATCTATGATAAACACCTATACACTGAGGAAGCGATCTCTCATAAAATAATTGGGATTACCTTAATTACTTAAATCGGCCTATTTTACTTTCAAAACAGACAGATTCAATTCAATTTCAATTCTTTATTAACCTTGAGTCACAGACTCATCGGTATAACTTATTTACAAAATACATAATAAATATAAATACATTTAGGAGAGTAATGTGAAAAATAATTAAATAAATCATACAGATTACATATCACCGTTTTTTACTCGCATACATTAGATATCTTCCAAGGTTTCTTAGATCTTTTACATTCGTAGTGCTCATTAATTTAAAAAATTTGTACATATTTGGTCGTGTGGTATAATATGGTTTAATATATTGCAGGCGTAGTTCTTTAAAAGCTGTGCATATTAAAATATGATGGTATTCATCTTCAATTTCGTGCATATTACATACTTTACATATTCTTTCATTTCTTGGAATTTTAGTGTATCGACCGGTTTCTATTAATAAATTGTGCGATGCTAAACGTAGTCTACTTATATATTTCAATAAAGCCGAATTTACAAGTTTTAAAAGATAACTTTGGAGTGAAAAATTGGTAACAAAAAATTGATAATATATTCCCTTCGATGAATGACAAATATTGCTAAAACAAGATTGTGTAAAATTATCATAGAGGCGTTGCCTAAAAATACTTACAGAATTAATAATGGGATTATTCCATAGATAACTCAAACCTAGGTGATCAAGCTCATTTCTTAAATTACAAATCCACACATCATTATTAATGATCATATCTTGCAAGCAACATTTTAACAGTTCATTATCAGATTTCAACAATTTAACATAATACTTAAAAATTCTAAGTTTTCTGATAGTATAAAGCGAATATCTACCTACTTCATATAATAACATATCATGGTTTGTAGATCGTTTAACATTAAGAATCATTTTAAGAAAATAAAAGTGTAGTTTCTCTATGTCAGGTCCCTTATGAAACCCCCATATTTCGGCCCCGTAGTTTAAAATGCTACCTACATAACAATCAAAAACATTAATACAGGTTTTGATATTAAAACAATTTTCTCTACATGTCTTTAAAACAGGAAATAAGGCTTTTCTTCCTTGATTTGCTAGATTTGCTTGTGCTAATGTAAATTTGCCATTAAAATTCAAAACAAGTCCAAAATAATTGAAATTATTTACAACCTCCAATCTATGACCATTAAAATGCCAATTTTCAATTGCTGAAATTTTGCCACCATTGCGGAATATCATTACTTTTGTTTTAGATGTGTTCACTGTGAGATCCCACTTTTTGGTATAACTCTCCAAAGAGTTTAACAGATCTTGGAGACCCACAGCTGATTCTGAAAACAATACCAATACCTCTGCGTACATCAATAAAAATAAGTTAAAATATGATAAAGTTAATGCAGTACAATTTGAATCGTTGAAATGATCTTCTATGTCATTTACATAAAGGGAGAATAGCAGCGTAGAACGTATTTCTCATTGAAATAAACCAGTGGAGCACGAAAATAATTCTGACAAACAACCATTTAATTTTACACAACACTTAACTTTACTGTATAATGAACGGATAAGTGTAAGGATTTTTCCATCGATTCCACACTTAAGAAGTTTATACCACATGAATGATCTATTAATTAAATCAAAGCATTTACTATAATCAACAAAGCAACAATAGAGTCTTTTCCTAGATTTTAATGTTCTGTTAATAAGGGTCTGTAGTATGAAAATAGCATCGGTAGTACTAAGGTTTTTTCTGAAACCAAATTGCGTTGTAGGTACTAATTTATAACAAACATCAAAAGCTAAAAGTCTACTATTTAAAATAGATGTAAATAATTTACCCATACAACTAACAATAGTAATACCTCTATAGCAATCCGGATTATGCGTATCTCCCTTCTTAAACACTGGAACTATATTTCCAATACACCACGCTGAAGGATAATACCCAGATTCTAAGATACTGTTAAATATAAGTAATAAGCAAGGCATTAATTCATCCATACAGTAAATAAAGAGTTCATTTAAAATATTATCTGACCCACTGGACTTATGTAACTTAAGTTTTTGGACAGCTTTATGAACCCCGCTTGACGTTATAGGAATATCAAGTTCTTCGATTCTTAAAACAGTCATCAAAAGAGTTAATGTAATCATTTATTATAGGGTTACTTTTTGCCGTGAAGGATGATAGGGATGAAAGGATGAAAAATGTTCGTACATGTCTTCCATTGCTATAGGACACATTGAAGTTTTCTTCTTTTTGTTAAATAGCTTGTGGAATTTTTTTGGGGTTATGCATTCTTAATAAGTCTAACATATTGCCTTGATGACTTAAGTAATTGTTTTTTAACTTCATTTCAAACTTTTTATATCTTTGTCGGCATTCAGTTAAATTGATTCGATTAATTACTGATTTCTTCTTATTAAATGTCTTAAGAGCTGACTTGTATGTTACATAATAAGATTTACATAAGTCATTGAACCAAGGTTTATCGACAGTTTTCCGGAGTTTACTTGACCTTTTAATACTACTTACTTTGCGATTGTATGGTGAAAGTAGCTCACTTACCCTCACTGAGAAGGTATCAACTATTTGATCAACGTTTGTTTGTGAATTATTATCAATGGTTACTGACGTTAAAATTTGGTTCATTGACTCTTTCAGTACCAATTTTATATCTTCCCTCTTACTGTCATTCCAT